TTTTGCGGACAAGAAAAGAAGCGGACTTGAAAATAAACTTTGCGCAAAGCCGACTGACATGAGCCACTAAACAAAACGAAATCAAGACATGAATGCGTTCAACAACAGCAAGACATCGAATGTATTCTCATGATTGACTACGAGTTCCTGCCCAGGTTAGTCTTTTGTGAACAAACCCTAACACTGTTCCTATAGATTCCATGAGAACATATTAACAGATTGGCAAGTAACTCGAAAGACCGACTTTCTATGAACCTCGGCATAGATAGCTGATATATTTATTCATTTCATCTTATAAACTGATCTTCTTAAGCTGACGCGAGGTTGGTACAGATCTTCGTTGTCGTTGCCGTTGTTTTTGATGTCATTGATCGATGGCTGACGTTTCGGCGACTTCGCCTTCCTCAGAGCCTGGACGTACTTTATGTTAGAATACTTTTTATTATTCGGTGGAAAAGAAGGTTAAAGTATTAATGCAGATCAAACTTTCAAATAGACGCCATATTGAACAGAAAGGCCACTCACCGTGATGGTACGTGCGGGACTGGCCCACACGTAGTTCACGCGACCAAGACACACCCCGGGGTCAAAATATCATTTTGAAATAGGGCGCCAGGTCACGCGTGATAGTGAGGCATTCGTCCTTCCGGTTCATCTTTGGATTTTTGATATACGCCGCCAGTTAGTTCGAAATCTATGATCAGTTGGGCAGCTCAGAAAACTGTATGATCTGTTCTAACGGGAGAGACGGGGATTGCATGAGTTTAGGTATAATATACTTGATCTCATGTAATACATGCGGCGAGGAATATATCGGGGAAACGGGTAGACCACTATGTGTCCGCATAAAAGAACATCTAGATGGGAAAGCTAAAATCCGTTTAGACATCCCTCTAGTTACGCATAGGACACAAAAGCACAACGGCGATGATTTTGAAGTGAATGTGCGGATCCTAGCGCAGGAATCAAAAACATCAACGCGCAAAACTCTTGAGGCGTTTTGGATAAATTTCAAAAATCCAAAGATGAACCGGAAGGACGAATGCCTCACTATCACGCGTGACCTGGCAACCTATTTCAAAATGATATTTTGACCCCGGGGCGTGTCTTGCTCGCGTGAACTACGTGTGGGCCAGTCCCGCACGTAACATCACGGTGAGTGGCCTTTCTGTTCAATATGGCGTCTATTTGAAAGTTTGAAAGTTTGATCTTCATTAATACTTTAACCTTTTTTTTCCACCGAATAATAAAAAGTATTCTAACATTAAATACGTCCAAGCTCTGAGGAAGGCGAAGTCGCCGAAACGTCAGCCATCGGTCAATAACATCAAAAACAACGACAACGAGAACGAAGTTCTGTACCAACCTCGCGTCTGCTTATGAAGAACAGGTTATAAGATCACATAAATAAGTAGATTGGCAAGTAGGTGCACTAAATCTTTTGCATGCCTTTTCAGCGTTTCAGCCGGACTAGAGCGTTCCCAATTGGATTGTAGAGAGCGACTTTTTTCCAAGACAAGTCCGGTCCCAATTTCCCGACACCGGAGAGATGAGAGGCTTAGTTGGCCCGAGGCGGAATCGAGCTAGAACCATGCCCATAATGATGGACTTCACTACCATTGCGCTGCCCGCTCCCTCGTGTTAACTTATCAAGGAAAAAATACATGTTCATACAGTATCCACTTGTGACTACTACTCCAGGAACTAGGTGTCAATGTATAGCGCTCCGTGAGCATAAGCAGTATCAACTTCTGCTGTGTTTTTTGCGCACATCAGTCTAGCCACTGGTACATTACCAATGATTTGATGGGGTTCGTAAAGTATTTTCCGCCTATGGTTAATGAGAAACCGATAATACTTGAAATTTTACAGCAACGATGCAACAGATTCTTTGTTATAAACGGATCCTCTAAGAATTCTCAGCTGGTTGCTCTTTTCGGATTTCACTTCTGCTTTTTTCACACGTTCTGGGAGTGAGTTATATTATGCGAGCCGAAAACAAGCTTAATTAATTTTGGGTAATAATATCTCCCAACAAGTTGTGCATAAAGAGTACTTTTGCGTTTAGTGGACACGAAAAAGGTCTTAAAAAACTTGCTTTACAAATCGGCAAATTGTTTCAGGATTTCGAGACGAAGTAATAAAGCTGTACTTTAGAAACAGGAGGTTTTGAAGTCCTCAACAGTCGACTTCAATTTTTTTAATTTAATGCTCTTGATCAGGCAATAAATCAATGCAAGCCAGGCAGTGTCGTTCGCAACACTAACAATTGTTATGCGATTCCCTTAAGTCGTTAATCCCGACTCTTCGTGGCCTGACATCTGGCCAATATACCGTATATCAGCGGCACATGTCTCACCGTCACCCCACCTACGCTTCTTCTCCTACTTCCTCACTTCTAATCACTGCCACATTCTTTTAAATCAAGGAAAATGGATTAAGATAATATGAAGTCATAGTAGGTACTAGGGCGGTGATTCAATATGTGTGCAAATGTAGAGAATATAAATACTACGGAACTTGTGAATCGGAGGTAATAGTATGGGAAGAAATGTAAAATTATTCTGAATCTGCCTAGAAGTGACGATTTAGTTGATATTTCCCAGTAATGTGATTATTCAATTGATGCAGCCAGAAAGAAGAATCCACGTCTGTTTGAAAAGTTTCAATTGCAGTAGGTGTTTTTTTCTAACCTTCGCGTTCGGAATAAAAAAGAGTGTCTTTCAAAAGGTAGTAAAACCCATTTCAGTGGGGAAGTTAAATATTTTGTTCCAAATAAAATTGCTACTGCATTATAAAAAACTGAAAAATGGTTTTGTATGCGAAAAAAAGACAAAAAAACTAAGCAAGAAGTGTCGAGAAAAGACCCAAGCAAATAAGCAATCCGATACCGTGATTCTATCTTCTGGAATATCGAGTTTTTCGGCCATGTCCCTTTTAGCGGTTTGATCAGGATAGTGAGATTCTTGAAACGCCTCTTCAAGTAGCAGCGATTGCGCCTCGGTGAAATTTGTTCGAAATCGTCTTTTCATAACAGAATTTGGTGACTCTGAAAGCAGGAAAGAAGCTGTGTTTACAATGTAGTTTTTTTGAGTAGAAAAGGTAGTTCCGCAGGTATTTGCGGTGGGGAACGAACGCATTATTGTCGTTTCGGGGAAGTAACGCGTTCATCACCACACCATGTGGGTCCTTCGTTTCGCCTGTCTTTCAGCTCAGAGATCGACAAGACTAGCTGAGAAATAGGCGAAACGAAGGACCCGTATAGTGTGGTGGTGAACGCGTTACTTCCCCGAAAGGACAATAGAGCGTTCGTTCCTCACCGCAGATACCTGCGATCCGGAGTTTTGGAAATATCTTAGCAACATTGAAGTTATATTTCGCAATATACTCTGCCATTAAAAAAATAGACACTAAATGAAAAGGTTAAGAATAGAAAAGGTAGTGTTGGGCTGTGATTCATTGTGAGAAATGGAGGTGGTACTTTGCTTAGGAAGCTCTCGAAGCTACACTCCCTCAGTAAGAAGAAGAAGCAATCAGTATCGTACCTGAGAATTTGTCAAATTTTTCTAAGACACAAATGGTGAGACCCTGAATAACTGGCTCAATTTTGCATTTTCTAATCGGGGTTCTTGAACGAAGTTCCCAGTACATTCATCTGCTGTTTAGTAAAGTGGCCTATGTGGTCGACTAATTCAGCAATTTTAAATTATTTTTCGCCATAAGTTTCAAACTCGAACAATTTCTGATTTTTCGATTTTTCCGCATTCCCTGGAAATTCTACTGCATTTTTTTTAAACATCTGAGCCTGTCGTTAATAGAGCTTACAGAATCATCGAAGCAAAAAAGAGGATGTTAAGCTCAGTGATGTCAGTCATTTTTCCTAATATTAAAAAAAGTTTAAAAGTCTAGTCAAAAACACGAGATAAATTGGTTCTATGTAGGCCAACTGATGAAAACCTGAGCAAGCAATCTTTTTCCTATGACAAGTAAAGCGAAACCTGAATTAGTGATTTTTTCAAAAACTTAGTTCAATGCTAAGTAGAAGAATAATAATAACGTTAAAGAAAACGAATGACTGTTCTTTGGTTTATGCTGACGAAGCTCTTAGTAAGTCAAAGGGTTCATTGATTTCCTTTGTTTTGCGCTTTTTCCAGACGAAAGTCTAAGGTTGTCACTGGCCAAGAGAAGGCCACCGAAACAAGCGATGAAATTTGAAAGAAGAAATTCTATTTCAGAATTGAAACACTCCTAGCTACAGACTTCTTATCTAAACAACTATAAGGCAGAATTTGTTCTGTAAAATATTCGTACCGCTTCGATCGCTCTTTCGTTTCAGGATGGCGGATGAGGGTGGTGGCGGTTGCGTCCAGCTAGCCGACGATGCGTCGCACATCTGCATCGGGTTATGGTATCGTGCCGTCCGAGCGGCCACTTACGAGCACCACCGACAAATCTCCGCCTTTTGTTGAAAACTTACTGGTTTCACGTCTATCGGAAGTGGTAAAATCAGTCCAATGACATTGTAAAAGTATTCTCCCCATATTCCTACCCTTGCTGTAGGATTGTTCTGCTTTTTATTCGTTCATACCATTCTTCGAATTTCAAATGTTATGAGGTTAACGCGTCCAACACGTTATGTGTGCTCTTTAGAGAAGTGGCATCTTCTACTCTTACTAAGTTTTTACCATCATGTTGTAACCATCACAATCGTTAACGGACATTAACTCTGAGCCAAAGCGGATTGAAGTTATTGAAACTTGTGTTTATTTCTTTCATAAATGGGCAAGAAGTAAAACCGTTATTTAGCCAATCAATAAATCTCTTCAACACGGATGTGTAGAAAATTAAGAGTGATCTCCTGCTTTTGACTTTCTTTGAAAACATATCTCTAAAAATTGAGCAATTGAATAGCAAATGAAACTTCATTGGTTGTGGAAGAGTCAAACCAGTGGAGGAACTAAATAGTGAAATTCAGTCATTCAGAAACTGTAGTTAGTTAATCAGGAAATGAATAAAATTTCCGACGAAATTTGATTAGCAATAATATCAAGTAGTCTCGAAACTTGGCGTTCAGCAAGTTGTTTATAAATTTCTTCTTCAAAAAAGGCGACTGCAACCATTTTGGAGCGGATAGCTACGTGAAGATACTTCAACAAGCCGAATCCTGACCATGGGCTTTCACGTTCGACATTCATCTGAAAGATAATCGAAATATTTTCGACTTCAAAGTCGCAAAATACCCAGATTAATGACAGCTTATCATTGTTTTTGTGTTTCGCCAAAGCTTTCCAATCGCCTGTTTCCCTTTCACTCCTTGTCATGAGAATGTCGCATTCCATATTTGGAACAGACTGAATTTGTACCCCTCTAATACTGACAGAAAAGTACCTTCAAAAAAACCCTTAAAATCTCAGAAATAAGAAAAAAATTAAGTCGGACAATAAAGTCGTTATATGTGTGATTTTAGGAAAACATGAAAATTTTTTGATGGTTGAGACAAATAAGAGCTTACTCACTTCCGACACACGGTAAAGTATGTAGCGCTTCCCTGATTTAAATGAAATACTAGTGACACTGCCACAATCTTCCAATGATCTCAATAAGGAATTGAATTCATTACTTATCCAGTCTAAAACATATAGCACTATTAATCATTTATATACATACGTGCAATAGAAAAGCTTGAACTATTTACGCTTAATAAGAACCTGGAATAAAATCTACAGTTATGAGTTTCGTAGGAATCGAAACTGAGTAGGCAATCATGTCGAGACCAAGAGCAGCCGGATGCATGAAATCTTTCAACAATGCTGACTTTTTTTCTAGAGCTAGTGCTGAATTTCAACAAATCAGTCAAGCGAAATGTTCAAAATGGACACTGGTCTATTCTCTACAAGGTTTACTCACCTATATTCTGATCCGAAATCATGTTTCCCGGTAGCACTCTTGCCATATGAGACACTGTTTCACGAAACTGCGCTAATTTAATTTTTGAGGCTTCGAATGTTTGAAAGCAAAGCTCTTGAAGAATGTTGATGACTTGGCGACGAAAATACTTCATCATCGTTTCACATTTTATTGAGAAATTCTGAAAAACAATGAATGGAATCACTTGTTTTTAATAAGAATTGCGTCCAGTTGAAGGCATACACATAAAAATCATATCATTACACATTTCCAAAGAATTTTTTCAAGAATCATGGTGCCCACATTCATATATGAGATCTCTTTCGAGAGCTAAAATGAAAAATTTGAAATCGATAAGAATCACCTCATTTCTGATGCTAGTACTTGGCGTTATTGGAGATGCTAAGGAAGTCGTCGAAAATGCAGACTTTAGTGATAACAATGATGAGCTAACAGCCCACAAATGGTCAGCACGTACTAAATCCTTATCACAGGAGGCTTTGAACAGATTCTCAGTTCTTTGCCAAATTGTCTAAAACTGGAACAGAGAGAAGAAAGAAAATGTTTCTGGAATAACTTAGAAATCAATCTCAGCTTTACACTAGCCATACTTGAAGGAAGGTTGCCGTTCGTGATGGGCTTCTCATAAATCCCGCTTTTCGTGTAAATGCTCCGTTGGCTTCAATTGAATGTAGACCTTGTGAAATAATCTCCACCATTTCTCGTATATTACGGACATCTCTGTATTAATACAGCTTAACGCAATATGAGGCAAATTAAAATATAATTTTATCGAATACGAGCTAGGAAAAACAGTTGCTTGTGATATTGATGTTTGTTAGAAATTGTCTTGCTCAAAGAATTGGTTTCAAAATTTCTGCTAGTAAAAAATCATTTAATTTTTAAATAACAATTTTTTAACTCGTATGAAGTGCTGAGATATTTGCAAAAAGAGTTAAGATAACAATTTTCTATTTCAACTATTTCTCATGACAAAAGCATTTTAAGGAATAAAAATTTGTAGGTTCTCCAAAATAAATTAGGGTTTATCAAAAAAAAAACACTAAAGTGTAAAAAAGCTAAGACTTTAGGTTCCTTCGTGGGAATCAAGAGAAAAGGTGGAATTACCTTACTCGAATCAAAATCATTCGTCTCCGAATTCCAGCGCCAGATTTCTTCTCTAACCATGAACTATTCTAAATGTTGACATGCTTCATCTATAAGTGCTAGCACGCAACCGACACCCACTGCCGTGTAGCTCTAACTTTTGGGAGGCGGTTGAATTAAAAAAAAAACCATGTTCGTGGGAGGAATACCTAATTTCGCATAGTGGTATGAGGCTCAAGCTTTTCGTTTTTTATCTCCTATTCTCTTATTTATAACATGATCCCAGCTGCTACCGGTAACAAATGCATTCGTTCTGTGCTGGCTCTACTTTTTCAGTAGGCTCGGTTTGACCGAGAACACAAAGATCACCATACTTTTGCAGGAAGTGACTAGAATTTTTCCGTTTTTCATAAATAGATGGCCGTGGAGCCTAAGTTCGCTGAATGGCGCCTGCTTACACTCACGGAAACTCGCGGAGTAGAGGTGCGGTCTAATTTCTGCAAGCGTCTACATTTGCTTACCAACAATTGGTTAAATCGAGATGCGGGGTACAGTTAGTGACTTAGCTCATTTTTATTCAAAGCTAGCTTATTGGGAAGTTCAAAAACTGCTGCAGAATTGTAACACGGAAGTATTTAAGGAAAAAAGATGATGAGCATCGTAGCTTCAGTAGGTCGCATTCCTGCCGAATTTTATATTTGCAGTAAACAATCTGCATACACACAAGCCCAATAACAATGATAATGTTTGCCTACGTGAAGTAAGTCAACGAATCCCCTCATATGATCGACCGCTAGCTGGTTAGAGTCGAAGCTACGGGCCACGTCCCCAGGTGGCGGTTAGGGGGTTAATGGCAGACGAAAAGCGACGTTCGCTTCCCTGAAACGCAGATGGATCCAGGGGATGGAGTCCATATTTCTAATGCCCCGATTTGGCGCTATTTTCTGTATCCACAAAGGCGCATTCACGTATGCGAGCGTGGGTACTTTTTCGTTTATACGGATTGTATTCTATGAAGCAATTCGGCCAAAAGCATGCAATAAAGAGACAGGGAAGAATGAGGGAGGCGGTTAGGAGTCGCCTCAAACAAATAAGTCCCATATCCACTCTGCGATAGACTAGCAAGCTATTCGTAAGTCTAGTCAACCACCATGTTCAAAGCTCAGCTCTAAGTGGGTATCAAAAAATCAAACGCAGTAAAATAATCGGGCTTCATTCCTCTGATCGTGAAAGAGTTGCCGATTCAGCAGAGTTGAATAGAGCGAGTAGGGAAAGGCAGCTAAAATCTCAGAGCCATTATAACCTGCTTAAATCGCAAAGGACTAAGACGACGATCTGTACCAGCAATGCACGCTCACTTGCACAGCGCTGGATAGAAGACTTGATTATCCATGCAAGAAGGATAAGGTCTGACATTTCTAGAACAGCCGAGGCGAGAAGATGCCATCCTTTCAACGCCGTCTGCGACACTGGAGAGAAGATAAGTTTGACCATGAACATCGACTCATTCGAACAACTAACAACCCGGATTGGATGTTTGCGATTAAAAAGTTATGAATCAATTCCGGCTTTGACAATATTCGTCGTTTACGCGCCAACATCAAACTATGACGAAGACTGCAGTGGTAACCGAACAAGTTATTAGTCTTCCCGGGAGCAAACGTGTTCACCACCACACTATGAGAATCTTTCGTTTCGCCTATCTCTAAGCTAGATATCTATCGAATAATGCCATCAGCAATCACCCACCAACGGGACTGATGTGAACGCGTTAACCCCCCAAAAGAATAATAGGGCGTTCGTTCTTCACGGTACATACCAGAGGTCCGGAGTTTTGCAAATATGTCAGCATCATTGTCATCATTGGACATTTTAGCGCAAAGATTGGACTCGGAAGAACGCCTGATAAACGTCATACTGCGACCAATGGATTAGAATTGAGCGAGCAGAGTGAGGGGCTGCCTGAGTTTGTCATGACGACGAAGAACATTCATGGTAACCCGAAATTATAGAAGCCCTATGCTCAACGCTGTAGCCAACGCAACGAAATAGAGGACGTTATAGTAAATCGAAGGTTTTGCTTAACCGATGTCGCTGTAGTCTCGAACTTCCACACGGGCTCAGACCATTACCTCCTTCGTGCAAGATTGTATTTCTCGCGGAAAGGAAAAAAGCCGCTAGATTCCAAAACCGAGGTTCCAGAACCACCGCAAACTGGGACCTATTCAATTCATTCGTCGGCTGTTGGGAAGATGCCATTCTTGATAACACCGATTAAAAATACAATCGGTTCACTCAACATTTTCACGTTACTGCAACGAAAACTGAGAAGTTCGAAGGTGGCCAAGAGACGTCTGTCTCCTGAACCACTCGAACTAATGCGCCAACTTCACGTCTAAACATAAAACACAAAGCAAACAGGCGATAAAAGGAGCTCTTAAGGAGAGAAGAGCAGCAGCAATAGTCGAACCTGGTGAGATTCGGGAAAGCACTCACAAAAGCAACCGAAACTTCGCCAATTACATGACCAAAATGATTGCACTCCGGCGCCCAGGCGAAACAGTTACAGCGTCCAGAAAGGCAATGGAGAAAATTATTCACGAATACTGCTCAGATCTCTTCGATGGCCATGTCCACCTTCTGTCATATAACACACGCAAACACACCGGCTCGGCTCTTCACACGTTACCTGTCTGAATGCCAGGTCCATGCTGAGTGGATCGGTAGGAGCGTGTTATTGTTCAAGAAGGGTGACGTACACGATATTAGCAAATATCGCCCAATCTGCTTGCTGCATTTTGCCTACAAACTTTCATTTAAATCATCCTAAACAGGAATAACAAAACATTGGACGAAGGACAGCCATAGAAACAAGCACGGTTTCAAAAGGCGCTCAGTACGATAAACAACATCCACACGATAACAAGGCTCACTGAAGTATCGCATGAGCACGAAAGACCGCTTTGTCTTATCCTTATCGACTTGAAGAGGGCTTTCGATTCATTTGAGATAGAAGCAGTCATGAAAGCACTGGGCAGTCAGGAAGTTCCTGTTCAATGTGCAAAGATTGTTTGTAAGCTGTTTGAAAATTTCGCAAGCAAGATATCACTATTCGATAACGATATTGACGCCGACGTCAAAGGAGTGGTTAGGCAAGGCGATACCATCTTGCCAAAATTATTTACTGCCACACTCGAGAACGTCATTCGAACACTGGAATGGGATAATATGGGAGTGAAAATCGATTGTCGGCAGTTGCACCATCTTCGCTTTTCTGATGACATCGTCTTTAAAACACCAAACGTTAGCCAAGCGGAACGTACGCCTGACGACTTTGATAAAGACTGTGGAAAGATTGGTCTTCGACTAGATCTCACAAAAATGGTGTTCATGAAGAACGGATTGGTTTCGCGTGTCTCAATCACACTCAACAGAACGAATATCTCCAAATGCTCTAGTTATATCTGTCTTGGTCGGGAAATCATTAGGATGAACGACCTAGCTCCAGAGCTGAGCAGAAGAAAACGAGAGGCTTGATGAGCTTTCAAGAGCGTCGAGGATGTAGTGAACAGAACAAAGAACACCAGAGCCCACCTTTTCGACTCAACTGTGCTTCTTCCTGCCCTAACGTATGCGTCAGAAGCCTGGTCGCTGCGTAAGCAGGATGAAAGGTCGCTCAGCGTTATCGAACGTGCAGTCGAAAGGACGTTGCTAGGAGTGTCCCGTTGCACACAATTAAGGGATGGAATCCGAAGCTCCGTTCTGCGTTAGCGGTCATGAATCAAACATGCCGTTCTGTACGCCGAATAGTCGAAGATAAAGTGGGCCGGGCACGTAATGCGTATGAGTGGCAAAGGAGTGGTTAGGCAAGGCGATACCATCTTGCCAAAATTTTTTACTGCCACCCTTGAAAACGTCATGCGTACATTGAAATGGGATAACATGAGAGTGAAAATAAATGGTCTGCAATTACACCATCTTCATTTTGCTGATGACATCGTCCTTATAACACCACTTTGGCAAGGCCTTTGGAAAAATTGGCGTTCGGAGAAATCTCACAAAAAAGGTTTCCACGAGGATCGGATTGGTTTCGTACGCTCCATTTGCGCTCAACGGAACGAGTATCTCCGATTGCTCCAGTTATGTCTATCTAGGTCACGAAATCAATATGGTGAACGACTTAACTCCAGAGCTGAGCAGAAGTAAATGAACGGCTTGTGGAGCCTTCAAGAGCATCGGGAATATAGTGAAGAGAACATAGGACACCTGATTACGTTCGCACCTCTTAGACTCAACGGTACTTCCTGCCCTAACGTTATGCGTTAGAAACCTCGTCACTGCGTAAGCAGGATAATAGGTCACTCAGCGTTATCGAACGCTTAGTCGAAAGGACGATGCTGGGAGTGTACCGTTCCACACAAGTAAAGGATGGGATCCGAAGCTTCGATCTGTGTCAACGATCAAAAATCAAAGATGCCGTTTTGTACGCCAAACGGTCGAAGATAAGGTGAACCGGACACGTAATGAGTATGAATGACAACTGATGGGCAAGAGCCGTTAGTGACTGGATTTCTCGGGATATTGAACGTACTGCAGGAAGACCACCGAACCGATGGTCAGAGTTCTTCGCGAAAAGCCTGCAAGAAAGATATGATGCTCAATGAGTTCCTAGAGCGAGCAGAACCCACTGGGTTACTCTTGCACGCGACAGGGAAAAATAGACGAATTACTGGCTCCCGCTTGAATCGCTCGACGATCAACGAAACTGCAGATGATACAGGTGATAAATTAGTAAAACCGGTGTGAAGTGGACACGATTTTTTTCCCGGAATCCAAGTCCTCCTAGTTTCCAAGAACGACTTCCTATTAACTTGGAATCGATGAATAATGATAAATATAATAGTGATGTAATAATAATAATAGTGATAATAATAATAATAGCAGTGTTCCTTGATCATTCAGATGTATGATCACTTTTCGACAACTTTGATTTGCGTATCCTCCTAGCAAAAGGCGTACCGCGTAGCCATGCCACTAGTCGGTTCGGCACCGTTAACAAGTCGAAGATGCGAAAAATTCGAAAATAATGAAGAAAATTTGAAAACTGTGTACAATTTATGCACAAACGGTAGTTGATCCTGACAATACCTTGTGAAGTGTTCCGAAAACGCTAAATTATCCAGATGTGGCAGAAGGTTAGCAATAGTACTAATAACAGATCCGTATTTAGCCTCACTAAGGCATAATAATATTGGACCACTGCCATTGTTGTAAATCATGGCATTCGTAAAAATTGGTGTCGCAAATTTATACGAATGTAACCAAAGCTAAAATTTCTTAGTATTATTCATTTACAAATACCTCATTGAATCTGACATACCGAAACACTTTCGTACTGTTTCAGATACTTTCTCTTCGAAAGTAACTGGAAGAAAAGTGTCAAGTTACTCATAGTTATACTGTCCCATATTGATTTTCTATCACTTGTATTACTTGCCAACACCTCACCACCACTTAACAGAAAGCATCTGAACTGAAGATCCACTTTAATTATAACAAATTGTGGAAGATAAGATTGAGAAGGTTTAAAATGTACCTGTTACTACCAATAGTGTTTAGAAGCTTTGACGGCAATGACTTCAGAAAAGGTAATATGAACGTCAATTCAGTTTGAAAAAATAATGCTTTACGAACATCCAGAAATTCTGAAAACTCTCCATAGGATAATCACAAAGAGTGTGCCTCTCGCAGATGAAAAAGCTTACAAGTTGATTCATTATTCATGTGTTTCAAGCAAAAAACTTTTTGAAGGTTTTTTCTTCCTTTACTTAAAAAATTTCACCAAGTTCTTTGCTTCCCACAACTGTATGCTATCGTATACATTATTTTAGATATGTTATTCGACCTTTTTGTTAACTACAGTACGGAAATAAGCTATAGGTTCTTCTCTTACCTCTGATCTTGTAATTCTCTAGTATGCAGCTTTCGCTGACAGATTCCACGAATTCACTTCCTAACCTCACTGTCATCAACTTCAAATCAATAAATTCTAGAAGAGGTCCAATGTTCAACTCCAATCCCATTTCCAAGAAATTCAAAAGTCGCTTTTGCCGTTCTTCGCTGTAATTTACAACTAAGCAATGATTACATCTATTCTTACCACACCTCTTAACAATTGGTAGAAAACGCACTTCAACAAATGTCATAAATTTAGAGGAGAAATAGCGCCATCAATTTTTTTTACCTGTTTCCAATCGATATGACGATGTAGTTGCATTTGAGATGTCTTAATAATATTTTGTTCTGGCTGCATACCACCGATTCGATACGATCACCACTGCGGGCAAAGTATGTTCGGTACATAGAAATAAGAGGCAAAAGCAGATGAGAAGCTTTTACTTTCGTAGATGATAAGTTATTTCTTGATGCTTGTGAGGAAGTTTTGAGCCCATCAACACTTGACAGTGATTCTGTCGAGGAGTCAGTGCAGACACCACTGGACGTTGACGGGCAGTCAGGCGAGAAGTATGTTTTGCCTTGAACGCTGTTATACAAGTAGTCGTTGAAATCATCATCACCACCGAATGAAATCACGTTGTTCGTGTTCGAAACCAGTACATAACCAAACATTGTAGAAGTAGCGAACTGAAACCATGAACCGTATATATTTTTGGCTCACATGTTCTGAAGAGTAAACGTTGAAAAAATATAAAACTCAAAATATTCTCAACGACAAACAAAGAGATGTAGAAACGATGAATAAAAAGTATGACTACAGCAGAATAATGAAAACGACCTACATTTCTTCAAATTAATTCAATTATTTTATGGAGACCTTTTTTATCTAAACTAAAAAATTCCATTGCGGCTGTAATTAGTAAGTTAACTCTACAAATCTGGTAGCTTGAAATCAGTTGTTATGGGTTGGTCCCAATATACTGTGCAAGAAAATAGTTCTTTGTTAATGTCCTTGCATGAATTGAAAAATAATGAGAATTGGAGGCAGGAAACTCACAAAATCTTACAGTTAGATTAACGCCTAGGTAAACAGAAATAATGAAAAAGGGAAGAGAGGAAGAGACGTTTCTAGTATGAAGCACCGTGTCAGTATTCAAATAGAAAAGGTAAACTGAATGAAATGTGTTTATAAACAAAGTATCAGAATTGACAAAATATCGGTATCACAAAATGCTTGATTTGAGAAAATGGAGGTTGTAGTCGTGTTTTCAATTAGGAAACTGCTTCAAAAAAAGAGATTTCAACTAGAAAGCTCCAAGAAGTGATTACGAAGATCAGAAATCAAATCCACCGTTTGAGGACGACGATCTCAAGGGCTGGACGGTCAAGCTATTGTGTGACGTGTGGGTGACGGCTAAAGGCCTTCCATAAGGACACTACGTGTAGTAGAACCGATAAGATAAGTGCAAACGAAACAAATATCCGATCTAGTTCACCATAAACTGCATATCATTTCTCAAACTATTTCACAACATTTAGATAATCAACCACTGCTGAACAAAAAAAAAGAAAAGACGGAAAAATTTTAACCAGGTGTTAAATCATGGCTGGTATCAACCGCTTAAAAATTTACAAAAGTGTCTCTTTCCAACAAAAATCTCGAAGTTACTAGAAGCTAGAACTACTAGTTAAGAATGTTGAAACAAATTGGATGGTTTCCTTAACCCAGCATCTTGAATAGTTCCAGATTTGATAGCCGGTTAAAAAGGCAGTATTGTTTTCAGGGACCATCTCTTCTTCTGAGGCTGTGGACTACACAGAAGCGGTCTACTACCATGAATTTTTCATCATAAAAAAATCACTGTGCATCTAACACAGGAAAAATGAAAAGTTAGTGTGTCAATGATCTTACAATAATTTTACCAGGCCTAGGTGTTATCGCCGCAATCGACATTAAACTTACTTCTTTCGGAAAGAAAGTTTTGCGTTCAAAAAATTTTTACGAAGAAAAAAATCAGGAGAACAGTGGGTTGTTTTTGTATTATATGAGCAAGAATGTTCGGGGCACCCAGATGACTAACATCGGTCATTCAAGCGTCCTTGTCACTTTTTTTTTGCGTTTAAGTAGTACAAAACTTTATCGACCATTAGTATTATTCGTTTTAGGCCAACATAGAATGAGTATGGAAGACATATTATGCTCGCAGATCAGAAGAGCAGTGGGAAAACAAAGACAAGGCGACCGGGACTGATCAGCCCTTGTAGGATGCGCCGTGCCTTCGACTTCATTAAGGATCATAGAGGTGATCGAATGCTTATCTGACCTAACAACAGCATGAGAGGGTTAAGCGATTTATCAAGGTAATGATGCCTGTCTCCCAGAGGAGCCTAGCACCCAAATCCAGAACTCAGAGAGATGGAATACTCGGTGAGCCCAGGAGCGGATAATGAATCAACGAGCACATTTACATTGCATTCATGCTTAACTACTGCGTACCGCCGAAAAGTAGTAACGAATATGAAGCGGTCGTTCAGAGGAACAGAGAAATTTGTTAAGCCCAATCAAAAAATTCGGTGGAAAGGAGGCAAATTTGTGGTCGATATGTGAAAAAGCAATCAACAACTGATAAGAGACCACAGTCACAAGCCAAGCCACAAACATCACATGCTGCAATGAAATCAGCACTGAACACTGACCTTTTGGAAAGTATTTTATGAACTGCAACTTCAACTACAGCCCCAGCTAAACCGGGTTTAATGCCGATTTGTGCTGCTCTCAAAATCATTCCCTTTGACGGGTGATCGTAGATGGCATCGTTAAAAAAGAAAACGTTCTGAGAGAAAGTTAAACCAAGGGCCTCCCTCGGTGGAGCAGTGGGTATTTTGCGAACTCCCAGAAGGGATAACCGCACGTTGGGATCTGGCCAAGAGATCGGGTTTTGCAAATATCTCACTATCGTTGTGGCTACTTTTTAAATAGATTAATGATTTTTTTGAACTCAAAATGTTTCTGCACTTTTCTCCTTGATCTACTTTTAATGTACGCACGTTCAATATTTTTTCGAAAATCGTTGTTTTTGCACTAATTTAAAAACTAACCTGATCCACTGAAATGCTCCGTAGTGCATTTGAAAAATATTTTCTTCCTATATGCTTAAAAATGCTACGAATAACACTCATTGAGGGTAACACGAGCCAACGAAGAACAAGGTAACTACGCTTATCGAAGATGGGTAGGAGAATACGTGGCTGAGTACCTGCTCTAAGACGCTAGTGGTTTAGACCTTTTTTATTCAAATGATAATAGTTGTATATAAATGCCTTAACATACCCAAGTGTGTACGAATTGTACTCGGCATAACGATTCTGTTTAAGATCTACGTTCATTTCAGGCCGAGGAGCATGATGCGCAATGCGATACGCGGTTCGACTTTACCTTTAGACAGAGTGGTTCCATGTCTACAACAGGATTATGCGACAAACTACCAATAAAGAAAGCTTAAAGCCAATACAACAGAGGCCTGCGAAATGCCCGTGGACGAAGGCCGTGGCAGGAAATGTGGGGTCCACAGAAAGAGCGTTCTTCATTCACCAACAAACGGTGACTTTACCGTTGCGTGATTAAGAGGATCGGTGTTTAACAGAATAGTAGTGCGATAATATAAGGTTGAACGATAACATTGACAGCAAATCGTATCATTACGAATACAACGTTCAATGTACTAACAAATACGAGCGGCGCTAAGTGAAACAAAAGTGTAAACGTTTGTCCAAACAACAAATCACCAATCAGTATAAATGGTTGTAAATTTATCTTTGTATTCCGTTCAAAATAAGTAAAGAAATAAAACGTGGATCCTAAATTTTCCTATGAGGTGAAAGGGCAAAGAATTAAGTTTTCGGCGTTGATCAATCCCTGAGGGACGCACCAAGCACCCGACTTCATCTAGTATTGTTAGGGGTAACTGAATTCATGTCTAGTCTATAAAATGAGTTGTAATATTCATTCTGAAAAATAGCTAAGCGCAAGATCATCAGTGGATAGTAACTTCTGTATTTTAATAAGCAAGTGCAAGAAGGGACACACTAGTGTTCCAAGTTTACAATCGGAAACAATTGACGAATTTAATAAATCCCACGACCAACTTTCCATTAACCTCGGCATTGATCAAATAATTCTTCATATTCTTGTTGAGCAAACGCGAGGTGTTATTTCATTCTTTATTCAGGAACAAGCCGACGCTTCGGCGGATTTCATCTTCCTCAGAGAATGGAAGGGTCAAGTTGACAGCAATCTACCCGGCCAAACAACTCCATAACCAAACAGCGAAAACGCTGAACGAAAATTTCAATCTCACACAATGAACACAGAGCTTCGCACACTCACCGTTTCCTAAAAGTCTTCCACTAAATATGTCACGTGGAGACTAACCGCACAGAGTTCACACGGAATCGTATTGTGCCCATCTCATCGAAATAACAGGCTTATATACGGCCCAATACCACGCGTGATAATGGGGCATTCTTCCCTGCGGTTCATTTTCGGATTTCTGGAATTAATTCAGAACGCTTCGAGAGTTTTACACGCTTGTATTTTCGGCTTCTGTGAGAGGATCGTAACCCGTACTTCAAAGTCCTCCCCGTAATGTCTCTAGGTCCTATGCGTGCCTGGTGGGGGTATTTGGCTTACGTTTGCCGTCTAGGTGTTCTTTTATGCGGACACAGAGGGGTCTGCCCGTTTTGCTAATGTATTCCTCTCCGCACGCCTTACAGGAGATCAGATAAACTGTACCCGAGCTCATGCAATCACCATCTCTACCATTAGGGCAAATTATGCAATTTTACCTTGCACATAGACGGTCATATAGGCGGTTACGAACTAGCTGACGCCTAAGAGTACACGGTGGCATTTCAACTACGTTTACCGAATTCTCTAGACCCGCCCTTCTTCAACAGCGTTTTATACCTACACTTACATCACTTAAGATGAAGGGTCGGATAAACGGGACCTTTTCATCGCTAGAGTTCTCGCTTGGGGCCTAGGATTTCCTTCACACCTATCTCGCGCTACAGTTTCGCAGCCATTAGAAATGACTATTTGACGCGTTAAGTTCCGAGACTCTTCTCTCTGCTCTCTTCCCGTCCACACATTGGTTGCTGTTCGAAGTATGCTTCTTAAAAACGCCCTTTTTGTGTGTGAAGGGTGAGGTGAGAGGTAAGTATGGTTTTGCTACATGGCTTTCGGTACCATTTCGTAATGTAGCCGCTTTCTGATAGATTGATTTGCACGTTCAGAAATGGAAGCCAGTTTTCCTTTTTCTCTCGGATGAACTTAATATACTCTTACTGTTTTTTCAGTAACTCAAAATATTTGCCCATTTCCTCTTGTGTTGAGCAAAGGACAAAACAGCTATTTAATATCTATAGTAGAGCAACGACCCGAGGTTGATTACTGGTGCTTCCACCATAGACACAGATGTTGATTTAAATCTGTCACATTTCTTGCCTTGATTCATTTATGGTTCAATTTTCGCTAGCGACTTCGCCATTCACAACAATCTCCTAGATCCTTAATTTATTATTTACTGCCTACTCTTTTTAACGGCAGGGTATTGCGAAATATAACTTCAGTGATGCTGAGATATTTGCAAAACACCGGACTGCAGGTGTCT